GCCACGGGGTGGCGGCAGCAGGGGCGGCAGCAGCAGCCCTGCCTGGAAGCTGTGTCTGCTGGCTGGAGCTGGCACCCTCTGGCAGAGGAGGCTGCACGCCCTGCCCCAGGCAGGAGTGAGTGGGACTCAGTCCCATGGACAGCACAGCAGGGGCAGCAGCCAGTGGGGCTGAATACAGTTAATTGGTGGGTGCCAGCCTATGGGCTGGATCCAATCAGCTGGTGGGCCAGATCCGCCCTGCAGGCCATATTTTGCCCACCCCTGTTCTAGCTCCATCCTCTTTCAAACTACCCTTTGTGGCAGAATGCCATCTCTGTCTCTCCCCAAACCCTGCTGTCAGGGGGGTGACCAATCTTACAATTTGGTTACCATGGTCACTGCAGAGGGCAGACACTCCTGGCCTCATCAGCTTCAGGTAATCCTGGGTAGTAACCTGAGCTGGATATATTCCTAAGGGAGGGGGAAACCTGCTCTCTCTGCCTACATGACTGGCCTCACACACCTGGGTAGGGGCTTAAACTCCCTATTGTTCTAAGCAATGCCAACCTGGCTGGGAGGGGTCTAAAGACCCTGCCAGTCTGTCCAGCAACCAGTGATGCATTTTAAATAGGTTAGCTGGCAGCCAACAAATGCTGGTCTCCACTGGACCAGGTAAATGAGGTTGTAAGTACTACATAAGTTAAGGACTGCCCAGGAGGAGGGTCAGTAGCCATGATGAAAACTCAGGGAAAAAAGAGCTGGACCATCTGAAACTTGCTCTCTCTCTTGAAACTCATGGTCAATGAACTGCTTGCCTCCAGAGGAAATCTCCATCTGCCTCTGGATGATACTTCTGAGTAAGCTACTTGAGAGCTAACATATATAGCTATAGAGAGAGAGCTAATATATAGCTTACAGTAATACAGATGTGTAATCAAAGGCTACCGTGCCGCTGTTTGCTCTAAGGTATTTCTCTGATACTGCTCTACCCTGTACCCTATTCCAAACCTATTCCTTGTAACCAATAAAGTTCTCTCTGTACCTAGAGTGGGAGACTTACTGGGAGAGGGTCTAGATTATGCCTCGGGGTCCCCTTGGTTTGGCTAAGGGAGACCACTATTTGTGCTTCAGACTGAGGGAAGCACCCCAAGTTAGTACCATAGTATCACAGTACTTAGGGTCGGAAGGGACCTAAACAGATCATCAGGTCCGACCCCCTGCCCCAGGTAGGAACGGGTGCCAGGGGCATATCACCCCAGCCAAATATCTGTCCAGCCTCCTCTTGAAGACCCCCAAGGCAGGAGAAAGTTCCACCTCATTTGGGAGAACTGGCCACCAGATCCCCTCTTAGCCTTCTCTTGTGGAGGCTGAATAGGTTCAGGCCCTTTAGCCTCTCTTCGTAGGGCCTGCCCCGCTGCCCCTTGACCATGCGAGCGGCCCTTCTCTGGACCCTCTCAATGCTAGCCACATCCCTCTTGAAGTGCAGCGCCCAGAACTGGATGCAGTCCTCAAACTGTGGCCTGACCAATGCCACATAGAGGGGAAGGATCACCTCCCTGGACCTGCTTGTGATGCATCCGTAGATGCACGACAAGGTGCAGTTAGCCTTACTGACTGCTTCCTCGCATTGGCGGCTCATGTTCATCCTGGCGTCAACAATGACTCGAAGATCCCTTTCTGCCACCATGTTGACAAGGGTGTTCCCCCAGCCTATAGGTGTGTTGCTGGTTCCTTCTCCCTAGATGCAGTACCTTGCACTTGCCTGCAATGAATTCCATCCTATTCTCATCCACCCACTTCTGTAATTTGTCTAGATTGACTTGGATTCTGTGCCTTCCCTCCAGCATGCCCACCTCGCTCTACAACTTGCTACAACTTCACCAGTGAATTTGGACAGCATGTATTCCACACCCACATCCAGATCGCTGATATAAGTTCTTGAAGGGGGCTGAGTACCCCTCAAGGACTACTAGGCCTGTGTTTCCCAGGGGGCACAAGGCCAAGATCAGTCCAGACCCTTGGTGGTGGCAGTGCTACTCCCAGGCTTCCAGGTGGGCTCCAGGAAGGGGGTCGGCTGGACGTGAGGTGCCTCCAGGGAGACACTCTGAGCCTGGAAGGTGGTCAGGAGCAGTGGGGTGGGTGGTTCAACGCAGGAGCACCCCCTACTGGCCCATCACACCCTTCAGATAGTTGAAGGGCACACTGCTGACTCATATCCATCTTATTGTCTGCTGTAACCCCCAGGTCCTTTTCTGCAGAGCTGCAGCTTAGCTGGTCAGTCCTCAAGTTGTTGTGGTACACGGGATTCTTTCAGCTCCCTGGACTGGCTAGGCCCTTTTGTTAGGACCGTTTCTCACACCCAGGCAGCAATCAGTCCACTCAGCTGCTCAGAGAACACATCTAAACACACAAACCCACCAAACAACCCTCAGCAAGCCAAGCATACAGGCAACTCTGACTCAGTTCCCTTCCCAGAGCAGGATCTGGTACCTGGTTCCTCTTCTGCTTCCTCCTCTTGCTCCCAGCAAACTGTCCCATTTACTTCTACCTGTTCACTGCTAATACTGTTGCATGGCTCAGTTTCTCTGATTATTGTATACAGGGAAAGAAGGGGTTACTTGTGTTTGGAACCAGAGCTGGAGGGGATTTGCCCAAGTGCTCTGCTAGCCAGTAATGGGCCATCAAGCAACAAGGAGACTTCGTTGATCCATCAAGCCCCTGTACTTGAAGAGACTCCCTGCTGTTTACAGTGCCAGTAAGCCACTTGAGAGAAGGTCCTGAAAAGGGGGAGCCCAAAGACAAGGGGGAAGTGGTGTTGAGAGAAAAAACAGCCAGGGCTATTTTTATTCTGACAAAAATTGCTTGGGCTTCACTGCCTGTTGTCTTCCTGTGGACCAATAAAGGTGTTTTGTTTCAAGAACTGCCTGTTTCACTTCATGCAACTTTGGGTACGCTCCATCTCCTTGAACAGGTAAAGTCCTTCTCCAGGAGCTAAGCTAGAATGCAGCTGGGGATATGAGGTGCATAACCAGGGGAGTGTACAGACTAAAAGGTCAGGTCTTGGAGTTCAAGGAGTCAGGGATTCACCCTCTCTAGAAGTTATGCCTGGGCTGGTTTCAGGGTATTCTCCAAAAGACTGTATAATGAGGGGATCCAAAGCGACTGATCACTTGGCAAATCTGAAACAACCACCTTCAGCAAAGAAAAAACAAAGCTGATGAGACGTAAATTAAGTTGATGCTCAAAAGGAAGAATAAGGAAGACACCTAGAGAAGGGAAATTTCCTACTGGCAGCAACCTCTCCTCTACCCAGACATGTCAGAAAGATTAACAGGCAATCATTTATCTTCTCAGGAAATTAAAAATAGCAAGGGAGCAGAGGTGTAACAACCACAGCCAGGTGTTTGGAGCAGCTGCAACACAGAAGGCAGTGGTGACTTCTAGCTGCTGCAATGCCACCTGCACAATTGTGCAGCTGCCAGTTTTAAGACTAAGCATTTATGTAAAATTAACCTTGGTGTTACCAGTTTGCTTGAAGCTGTGTTGGAAAGAAGGTTAAAGCTGCCTCAGATTTACGAGGAGAACTGTTTCTGGAAAAAAATGTTCAAATGCTGGCAGCAATGTGTATACATACAGCATGAAGAGATGGTGCTTTTAAAGGGACACTATTGAGAGCAGGGTTCTTTTAATTTAATCTAAACCACAGGGCATGCTACAAGGCACATCTGCTTGCGTGAGCTGCCACAGGGATTGGAACATGCAGAAGGGCACACTGAGCAAAGACTTCAAGCACATGTTGCTGGCTGTTTAGTTTTATTTCTGTTTTTGCAGGTAACGGGGGGGAGGAGGGGAGTTAGCATGCTGACTACAGAACCATTTCTTACATTCATCTACAAACCAAGATGAAGGTGACAACTGATAATCTTTGTCAAGACCACAATTCTGTCCTCCAATTCCAAGATGCAAAATTAAAAATCAGAGTTCATTATCCTCCAATTCCTAAAGAGGACAGAGAAGAAGCAACTACAGAGATTCTGGAACGATATTCAATACACCTGTTACACTTGTTGCTAACGTACTTGTCTCTCTCTGTTCCCTGTTTCTGCCTACGTGATAACTCTACACATGTCTGTATCTGACTCCTACTGAAGCCAAAAGGATCTTGCACGCAACCATCTGAGAGAAACAGCATAATTTTCAATGTCATCTTTGTGTTACCAGCTACACTCTATAGTTTCCAAAACAACATCCTTTCCTTGATGTGGCTGCTTCCTCTGTACTCTTTACTCAGCTCTGACAGCAAAATGGGACTTGGCCCTTTCAGCTTCCTACTTCACTCTGTGGTTCTCCTGGGGTAACTCAGCACTGCTATATTTAATGCCAAAACCCAAGTAAAGATTAAATAAAAATGAATTAATGAAAATTAATTCCATTCATGCAAACATAGCTTTTAAAAACAAAGCAATAAATATGCAGGTTAGTCCCAAAACTTCTGTAAATTTGTTTAGTTTTAGAAACAAAAAAATATACATTTCTTAATTTGTTTAGTTTTTCTTTCCTGGAACATTATACTACGCTAAGGCCATGGCTTGCCAACATCCCAACCTGCTAACTATCTAGAAAACATTTAATATAGAAGGTGTTTACCATTTCAACTGATCCATCTTTTGGATAATACAAGAGTTCAAAGCGTCGAAAGAGAGATGCATTTGGGTCGTACCATTCAGCAATGAAAGCAAATCTGTTGTCTTGACTCTGAAAGAAAAGGGTAATAAGGTTTCAATAGCAGTCATATGAGGGATCATTTCATTTGTTACTTCCCCAAATGCAGACAGGCAGACTAGTGAATATGCATTGGCACTGTGCACTCTAAAACTGTCTTCTCAAAGGTTGACAGCAGCTCTTCAACTTCTGAATTGATCCAGATCTCAAAGGAAGGCCTTTGGCAATCTGGAGCTGGCTTTCAAATAATAACAATCAAAACATGATTTCTCTTGTTCTGTCCACACTACCAAAAACAAAACAAAACAAACTTTGCAGAGGGGTTCTGTTACAACACAGTCACTAGGCATTATCAAAATTCAGTCAAATCCCATCTACAAGGCAAGACCAAGCTGTTATAGAAACAGCTTTCAATTTCATAACTTTCTGAGAGTAAATTAAACCAGGCTTGCTACCTTGCCCTCTTTTTTTCTTGTTATAAACAGTTCATGTACTCGTGAATAACTATAGAACCTTTACAAATATAACAGGTAGCCCAAAGGAAAGCACTGTCCTTGCCTTCGAGGTGGAAAAATTCTGAATTTCTTCTGCTAATACATGGAAAAATGCACTGAGGCTGAGGGCAACATTAGCTTGTCTGTACCCTATTCTCCTGTCATTTAATGGAAGACCTGTGCAACTTGAGCTCATCTAGAACTAAATATCCTATTTGTTATATGAAAGAGCTGGAAAAGGCAGTGTGTTTCATTTTGAATCCATCCAAATTTAGCTGCATGTACTGGACCTCAGCACTCCTAGTCTTCCCCATGGGACCCCTTCAGCCCAAGCCATTGACAAAAATACATCTTTAAAACTTTCCAGCATAAAATTAAGCCTTATCATTGAAAAACTGACAACCAGATGTTTTTCACAGGAGGCGCTGATGTACCCCTAATACCAATGACATGCTCTGACAAGGGCAACTTGTACAACGTGGGAGCTTCATGAAAACTAGTTCCAGAAAGATACCTGGGGCTGGATCTGGCCCTGAAGGCTTCAATTTGTTCACTGAGGTAGCCTCCTTCCTGAAGGCAACCTGTAGCTGGATTTCTCTATCTGTATGGACTCGGGGTGTGAAAACTTGACAGCAGATCAGGAACATCAGCAAGAAGGCCAGTTCACAGTAGGCAGAGCTTGTGTTCATCAAACTTCAGTAAAATTGAAGAACAAGGCATACTTCAAACCTTGGTCTCATTGCTGGCCCTAGAGCCCAGACACACCCTCTCCAGGGTTTCAACTGTGCAACTGTAGCAAGTGCTGGATACATGGGTGGTCACGATGCCCTCCATGGCTGCTCAGCCTTTGCCACCCTGACTCTCTTGGGGCAATTACTCCTTTACTATCGTGCCAGGACTTGATATTAATTTCTGAGGAACGGGAGACTGTTCCAGGGCTTTCCAAGCCTGTTCTTACTCTTTTGACCACAGCTGCCCGTGGTCCTTGCCTTAAGGGCTATTTACATGGGCTCCATCCTCCCCAATACACACTCCCAAGCCGCGCAGATGATATGCTGATAAGTGCTTTTCCTGGGCCACGGGCTCTCACTCCGAGTCCTTGCCCCTCCTGGGCTACAGGCTCCCTTGGCCCACTTGCTCTCCAGCTGTGGTCAGCTGTGCTCTCCTAAGTCAGTTGAGACTTTTGGGTTCCCTGGCCCTGCTGACACCTGCCCCTCCTGGCTTCCAATCTAAGGCCTCCTGGTCTTACCTACTCAGCCCTTCCTAGGCTCCAGCCTCTCAGGCCTCCAGCCTTTCAGGCCCTCCTCACTCGCCCTTCCCCGGGCACTTCTCCCTCTGCCTATGCCAGGCTTCAGGTCCCAAGCCCTCTCTACTCAGCCCCTCCTGGGCTCAGGCTTTCTCCCTCTGTGTCCCACACCATCTATTCCTCTGGCCTCTCTCTCTAGGCTAGCTGGGACCTCCTTACTTCCCCTTAGTCCCTTCCACAAACCACCAGTTCATGTCCTGCCCTATTCCTGGATTCTGCACTGCTTACCCCAGCACAGCTGTTCGGCTAGGAGCCCTGCTGCCAGGAGCCCCTCTCTGGCTCCCAGGGTTAGAGTGCCTGACCAGCTCAGGCCCTAGGCTCATATAGCTCAAGCCTGGGACCTTCTGGTCAGACAACTCTCTAATCAGCACCTGCCACACTTGAAAGCTGCTTCTCCCTCAGCCTTTCCTCTTAAATGTGATAGGTGTGCCAAGCACCCCATCACAGCACTGAAGTAAAAAAAGGCTAAAAGAACTCTGAAGTTAACTACTAATGACATCTTGCAGAGAAAAAAGAGCAAGAAGTCTGGCTGAAAAGCAAACTCCACAGACAGAGTGATTCCTACAACTGTAGCTAGCTGCTGAAAGGAAGAAATTGAGGTGGTCAGGGCCATGCAGTCATTTTATAACGTTGGCTTTGAACATTTGGTATTGTAAAAGGGCAAGTGGAAAGCTGTAACGGTACTGCTGTCCACGGTTTTTTAAATTCTGTTGCTGGTGGACATGCACGACAAATACAAATGTGCAGAAACCAGCACACTTTACCACAATGGTGCCTGCCAGTTCTCACCATGTCTTCATCTCCAACCAGAGCAAAGTGACGCACAGTTTAATATTCCAGGGGGGCATTAATGGCAATAATGCAGTGAAATTTGTATGCATTTCTCGAGCATCTTCAAATGCTCGATTTATGGATGAAATCAAAATATAATTTTTTAATAAATATTTCAAAGGCAGGGGAGGTGGATGCCACTAGTTCCCATTATACAACTTTGATTCAACACTGCTACACATACAATGACTCTAAAAAGTCCAATATCTGTACACCAGGCAACTTTGGGGAAATCCAGGTTAGATTTCTATGCCTAAATCCTTGCCCTCTAATACATCAAATCAGAACTGTGGGCTTAAACACTTCCAGACTTTTCAGATAACTTAGTCAGAACCTTGCAAGTCAGTCCTATCTCCAAGCAATGCAAACACTTACAACAAATAAGAAAATGGAACTACAAAATACTTGAGCAGAGAAAAGCAGTGAGCCATGTTAGTCGGGCAGAAGGCAGAGTAGAGATTAATTGTATAGGCTCACTCTACCCTTCCTTCTATAGCATGGGTGGGCAAAATGCGGCCCACGGGTTGGATGTGGCCCACCAGGCCATTCTATCTGTCCCATGGGGCCCCTAAAAAATTTGGAAAATTAATATGTATCTGCTCCTGGCTGCCTGCCATGTGGCCCTCGATGGCTTGCCACAACTCAGTAAGCAGCCCTCCGCCCAAAATAATTGCCCGCCCTTGTTCTACAGTATATATAAAATGCATTTGATTTTCATTCTCCCTCCTCCTCAGTTGAACATTCTCCAACCACACATAACAAAAGGCTCTGCTATTTTAAGTTATACAAGTACCAGTAAAACAATATGTTCTTTAAATAGGTAACATGCAGAAATAGTGGAAAGAAAACAGCATCCATATCATTTCCCAGTGCTACAAAATATACTCTGCATTGTGTCATTGTGGCTGAGATGACATGCTGCTTGCAGGGGAAAGCTTCTCCAAATCAACTGATTTAAAAATGTTTCTAGATTGTCAGTGTAGGATGCCAGGGAGTACAGGAAAGTCCTTATTGAGGTGTGTTAGGTACATGAATAAACTGGGAGTCTTATGTTAGTCCCAAATTGATAGATGGCCACTAACTTCCTCTCTCTTGGTATTCTCAGATAGCAAAAAGAAACACGGACAGAAGAAGCCATGTAGATGAAGGTTTCCCATCCTACCCTAAGATGTAATCCCTCAAATGTGAAGGCTGAGGCAAATGCCAGGTCAAGGTATGAAGGAAAGCTTTCACTGCCATCACCTGTGTGAGGCCTGTTCCATGAGACAGAACACTTCAAACTGGAGCGCTCATTCCTGCATATATTTTTGTTATGTGTCTGACACTATCCACACCTTTATTTTTAGTAGCTCCCATTTACCTCATCGTTATCTCCATTTGGTTTCTACCTCAGAGAGGAAGGGGACATTGTTTCTGCTGCAGGGCCCTGACAGAAATGTCACCACTTAAATGGGTTAACCAGGTCCGTACTTTTCACTCATATAACATTTGTGTGTCAGACTAATGTGTATGTTATTTAAGTAGGATTCAAACTGGAGCCAAGTAGGTTGGGATAAAATTCAGATTTTGGAAACCAAAGTGGCACCTTGGCCATCTTAAATGCTGTCTGCTAAGTGGAAGGGAACAAAGGTAGGCAGACATTTAGGTCAGTGCAGGAATGGGAAGGACCTAGTATGGCTTGCAATGAAGTTAAAGGACACATTGTCACCGACTTAACTGGGACTGAGAGCAGGGCTGCACTGGCATGCAGAGGCTAGTGTGAACAAAAACTCATCTTGGGTTTTGTCGCTGGCAGGCTACAATATGTGTTTTTCTTTTTGCTTTTGCCTCTTGCTTTCAAGACAGCATGGTGCGCTACCTCAGCAGGGGAACTGCTGGAAGTATCAGTAAGTGTTAGATATTGAAAAACATTCCAGCTGCAAACAAAAAAAAGGTAGCTTATCTAGTCCTAGGGGAAAAATAATGCAGCACATTACAAAAGTCAAAAGGCCCTGATTAAGTGAAGTGCTTACGTACAGGCTTAAATCCCATGGAATTAAAGGGGACTCTAGGATGTACATAAGTGGTTTACAGATTCAGGTCCTACTATAAAGGAAAAGGATGGGATAACGAAGACTAATTTCACAATGTAATGCTATTATTAAACTTTATGCCTTCATATTTCAAAAACTTGTTGGGAGGTAGGCCCATAGGGTTTATCTACACACAAAATGAAGGTGAGATTATGGCATGAGTGGCTAGCTTTAGTCTATCTGGCATTAGTAATGACAGCAAAGAAAAGGTGGGATGTAACTACATATACCACCACTGTACCTGAGCTAACTTGGCCACTGCTGGGTAGCAGTGAGAGCTCAGCAACAAGCTGCAAAACCCACCCAAAAAGCTGTGTAAATACTCAAATA